ACAATGATTATGACAATTGTCATTTATCTAGGGTACATCTACATTAAATTTTACCTGTTAAAGAAACATATTTTTGCCCATTAGCGTCACAAAAAAATCTTATATGTTCAAAAATATACCTACCTATTATGATAATTATCATTTTTCCAGGGAACATCTTCATTGAATTTATAATATAATATCTTTACAATATAAATTATATTATAACCCTTTTGTGTCCAAAAATTTCAAAAATCTTAAAAAATAACGCATATGACAATTGTCGCATTAAAAAAAAGTTTGACATAAATATTAATAAAAAAATAATTTAGAAAAACCATCTTTTAATATACTTAAAATTTAGATATATTTAAAAAAAAAATTATTTAGAAAAAGAAAAACCACCTCTTTTAATATTCTTAAAATATAAATATATTTATTAAAAAAATATTTAGAAAAAGCCACCTCTAATAATAAACTTAAAATATAGATATATTTATAAAAATAATATAAAAAAACTATAGAAGATTTGACCTAAAAGATTATTTATTTATGATATAATTAAAAAAAGAATAAAATTTTATGATAAAACAAAAGAATAAAATTTCTTCAAAAAATCAGCAAAATATGTTTCAAAAATATTTTTTGCTTAAAATTTTTAGCTCAAAAATATTAATTTTTTTTTATTTAAAAAAAAATCAAATAAATAAATCCATTTTTTTATAATCAAATCAAAACATATTATTTGCATTAAATAAAATATAAATAAAATAAATTATTTTACTAAAAATAAATAAATAAAATTCTACATTATTATTTAAAATTTCTCAATAACATAAAAATAATTTTTGGCTCTAAATTTAAAATAAACTCAAGCTACCCTCTGAGCCCACTAAGTGAGCCGACTCATGCGGCTCCTTGATCGGCTTGAGTCGGAGCCGTTTTTTACGACTCGAGTCGCAAGTCGTAAGAACTCGACTTTTTAACAACACTAATTGAGAGACTAACTTAAATTATTAAAAATTTACGAATATTTAAAAAGTCCTTCAATTTAAGTTTTAAGCTCAAGGCTACTTTTAATTGGAGCTCTAATTGTTATTTCGCAAACATTCAAAAAATAAATATATATAAAATCTATAATATATCTTTTAAAACTTTAAATATTGATATAAAAATAAGACAAAATGTTATTTAAATTTCCTCACTCATATAAATATATTAAAAACGTTTTGTAAAGTTGACAAATATTGCTAATATTTTAATATTATAATTGCAAGTTGTTTGTGGTATCTTAATTATATCAGATTTTTAAAACCAAGGCCGTTAAAAATTTTCACCTTGGCCTAAAAAAATGATTAAAGAAATCTGGGAGGAAAATTATTTTTTAAATACCAATTTTTTTTATTCAAATCCGGGCCGGACTGTGAAAATGGTAACTCTGCATGCCCCTGAATTATATACTACTCTGCTACAATCAGAAATGATCATATTAATTTTTTCATGCATTATTTTAAAAAATTTAAAAAGAATACAATATGCCATCTTTTACTAATATTAAAAAATTTGAAACATTTATTTTTCTCCACCCATTTTAGTATTATGACAAGATAAAAAGTAGAACATGACCGTAAAAAACGACCACATCAAATGTGAAGTTTTTATATTATTTCTAGCAAATCTATCCTTCATTTAAATTTTATTAAAAATCATCAATATTATTTAAATAATACAAAACTTAACTTTTTCCTAATATCATTCTTCTGGCCTCTAATAAAACGTTGAAAGGCATTTACTTATTAGTTAGCATTGTTGCACACATAGAGGGAAAGCGCAAATAAAAATTGCCGCTTATCTAAAATTTTTTATAGATATAGAGTTCAAGATAGCATTCAAAGATCAAATAGCACACTTACTCATTGTTGAGGAGAGTTACGAAGAAAATGCTTAAATGATAGAATTCTAGTTCATAATAGTTTTAAAAAGACTTAGAAAACTCCAGATATCTCAAATTAGTGTAATTCAAATTTTTTTTCTCTTAACTCACTTATAATATAAGTATCTATATAATGGGTTATCTATTTTATGACAAATACTTTAGTTAATTATTTAGTTTATATTTAATATATTTTATAAGCCTTCGAAAAAGCAAAAACTTAATTGGTCAATTAAACATTTGAATTAGATATACGAATATGGAATCCACTGATTTGCGATTAAGGATTTGAAAAGAATGCACTAGCTAGTAGTAACCTTGAAGAAAGAAAAATTAAATTAAATAAAACAGGCTGAAAAATTCCCAAATATATAATTATTGAGATTACATTATATGATATGAACGGAGAAGTATTGTGATTTACTGATGGCATTGTTATATTTTAAACTACTAAGGAATACCTTAAACGAAATATGCCTTTTTTATCAGAAGGAAAAATACACGTTTCAAAAGTCCGATACCTTTATCAAAATTCACAAAAATTGCAATAATAGAATCCAGATATTGAAATAGTCTTCCACTTCTTGACTTTAATCAATAAGAAACATATGGGAAATTAAGAAAGAGCTACGAAAGCTTGTTTTTTACAAATGCAAATTTGCAGATATATATTTAACAGATGGAGCATAAAATAGCACCAGAGACCCATTTTATATTTAAAATAATTCTAATTATTCAAGAAAACAATGAGATAATTAAATTTTAAAACTTGTTTTTAATTTATAAATTTATATTATGATCCTTTTTTATTGAATACTTTCGGCTAAAAGAAAATATTTGCTTCTTTTATATATAAATAAAGTAGGGCTGTGCCCATGCAATATTTTTTTAAAAATCGATTCTATATTTTTTATTGTTTTTGGTTATTTATTTTATAAATAATATGAAAGGAACAAATATACAATTTATTTGTGTTTAATAGTTGAAAATTTTGCACTATTTTTTGTTATATTATCTGCAACAAGAAAATTATTTTAAAATATCTAACTAGTTATTCAGCAGATGTTGTTAACGGCTCAATTTAGCCAATTTTAAAAGGTTACTCAAGATTTTGGCCAAAAGTAAATTAATCAATACTTATTTTGTCCACATAGGGCAGAAAGGTTTGTGCTTCTATTGGCGAAATTAGGTAATATTGGCTAAAATCTTGATTTTACCCCTTTTAAAAATCAGCCAAATGAATCTTCTTAACAATACTACTTCATCCATGAACATTGTTTTAAATAAGAAATAGAAATATTGATATTTTTATGTCATTGATTCAAAGATAGATGGTAAGAAAATTAATAATAATATCGGATCAGTTTTTATTAATATCGGATCGATGAAAAATTTGTGGATCGGTACAGCTCTAAAATAGAAGATTATACTGTAATTTCCTAAAAGCTCATCTAAAAAATTCAAAATTTATTTGTCAGGATTAATTAAAGATGACCGTTTTTTTTATGAGACAGAGTGGTATTAATTAATGTTTATTTTGCATCTTAATTAATTGAACCCCAATTGTATTCAATCCTATCAGATTAATGTGTCTTTTTAGCAGAAATGCACCGAAACCTCATTTTGGCCCTAACCATACTACTGTTACCAATATCAATAATAATAATTTTATATATTTATTTATTCTCTAATTGAAAAAAATAACATAATGAACAAATAATCGTCTTTAATTAGCATTTCTGAAACTCATAATTATATATTAAATTTTATTTATATTTCCCCAAAATCTCTCAAATTTTTTTCAATGTGTGTATTTAAATACACAATGCGTGTAACTATTTTTTTTTAATCAAACTAAATATAAAATAAAAGACAAAATATTTCACATTTTTATTATCTTGGAATAATTTTAATCACGTTTTTTGGTGTAAAACTGCTACACAACATTTTGTACAAATCATTTTAGTAACAAATTTACATCCAAGGCATCGGATTTTCCTATATATTTCGTTTGAATTGATCCTTATTTTTGTACCAGGATTCGTACTGCATTTATATAGTACTTCTGCTACGGAAATTTAAATTTTAGCACTACATAATCCCGTCTATATAATAGCCATGAATTAATCAGCATCATTTCCAATATATGGACTATGCGATGATACCATTTTCATGATCTAACTTGTATATGGTATAAGGCAATCAACCAGTCCTTTAAATCTACATTACCTTTTATTATAAACATTAATTGCTGCTGGACATGGAATTTTAATTTTTCGTCATTCCCTTCTAAAGCGTTCACAATCTTCAAGAAATTTCTTTTATAAAGTTAGGAAAGTTTTGAAATTTTGAGGTTTTTAAAAATATATTTAGGCCATAATAGCTTTAGCTCTTACATTTTCTATATATTGGAGTATGTTTTTTAAAAAAAGTAGTATTTTAGTTAAAAAGGAATTTCGATGTTATAATTTTTGGAGATAATACTTATCTTGCCATTTTATCTTTCGTATTTAAAATTTTAAGTTTTGTTTGGTGGCGGATAAACTCGGTTAGAACCGTTTAAAGTTACCTGTTTTTTAATAGAAAAGAATGTATATATAGGCTAACGCTTAATACCTAAATTTATCAATAATAATTATATCCGACGTCACTATCACAAGCCAAGATTGTAAACTAAGTCATTTGAGTTGCTATTGACAGTTTAAATGATACACGAATTAGTTTATTGGTCCTCCTAAGTAATATATCAATTCAATTTAATATAACAAAATATGAATCTGTCTTCAAAGTATAAATATTAATTCAATTCAATATGACAACGCTAATTCATTGTACTATATACGAATAATATGTAGTGTAAAATAGAATAACTAAATTTATTCTTGTTCTTCGAAATACACTTTAATCATCTTAGCCAATGTAAATTTTAAATCAAATCTAAAATAATATTTTTTTAAAGATTTTGCCCCAACCTATCACTAATAATTTGTGTTTATTTATATCACTTAAATTAAATGAGTTCAGTATCCTTATTAAAATAATTTTTTGACAAGATTATATAATGTATACTTATTTAAATTGATTAAAGATTTTTAGATTGGATTCCTTATTTACCCGGAGATATGGCGTGGATCTTTAGCCATTTTGTTCCTTTACTCAGGCTCTTTTTAAAAAAAATATGCGATCAAAAACCAGAAGCCAAAGCCAGGTTTTTAATAAATGTGTTTTCAATTAAGAATTATATTGCACTTAATTTTTATCATTGTATTTTCTTTAATTTATAAAATGCGTTAGTTAATTATGAGGTATATTATTAAAGGAATAAATGGGCATTGATTTCACCACTAACCAAGATATCGAAATTTTTTACGGCGCCTCTATTTTTTTTTCTTTAACATATTTTTGACGAATATTATTTGAATACCTGGAATCGGTTAGTTTAACGTGTGAAATCGCTGTTTCCCAAGAGACCTACTACGACGACTACAAGGCATCTTTAAAGGCTGGTGAAATAGATAAAATCAATGCCCATGCCACGATTTTTGGTGATCCTAAGATTATTGACAAAATGGACGAAAAGTTTTACTATGATATTTCATGCCGCAATACCACACAGCCCCCTCCTTTTGTGTCGCTCAAGTGTGAGCTATCGTCCAACCTTATCAACGATCCTTCTATGCTAACTATCGCTTCCTTCGAAGGTGAACCGAGTCATGACGTCATCAATGGATCTGTTTCCAAAAATGAGTTGTTGAGGAGAGCTTCATGGTATGGAAGAGAATACACTCCCAAAAAATCCCAAACCAAATCCTCTCACCCTTCTCTTCTCAGAGAGTTGAAGACCAAAAGAAATGTTGGTTGCTCGACCCATCATTACTCATCCTTCCCATGTTTGATGTTGTCGGAAAAAGCTACACCCTCGTTTAGCCATTATGAATGCTCTCTCAAAGGTTTGGAAATGGAAAATTTTCTCGCGCATAAAAACAATGCCAAATTTTCGTCCATACCTCACATAATCAACAATAGCGCCAGCGATTTATCTCTCAACGACATAAAATTGCCCCAAAAAGACGCTGTTATGTCCTACTACTACTTGGATGACAATGACGGGAAAGTTAAAATTACCGAAATTTATGATATCAGCAACATGAACGAAAATTATAAGATATCAAACCAAGATATCATTTCCAAGGATTTCGAATAAAAGCAAAGTATTTAAAATGCATCAAACTATATTTAAAAAAATTATATGATTTCAGGGACGTTTGCACCCATTAATGTTATAGATCTCGTTATCTGTAATATCTGTAAAAAAATGATATAATAATATTTATTCGGTGTATTTATAAGATACAATAAAGTATTCGATTTTGATTAACTAATCATTGGAAAATAAAGTTGAAATTTTTTATATTTATAATATTTGTAAAAATTTAGGTATATAATATTTATTCATTGAGTATTAAAATTTTTGGAATCTTTAGAAATATAGTATAACTTTTTTACATTTAATTGTGATAATATACTTTATAATATAAAAATAAAACATTTATTAATGGATTATTTTTGGCAAAAATTAAATTTACCTTTTATTTTTTGTAATGTAAATATTGACAAATTATACAATTTTATGTTACATGCAATCAAGCTTAATTAAATTTTGTAATTGATTTTTTTTTTATAATTGAAGGTCATTTTTCTATTTAGATTTGAATTCAACCTTCATATTAAATGGAATCAAACCGTGTTTGAAATTTAAAAACGAACCTATAACTCGAATAAATTATTAATTATCTCTTGCCAACTAGTTATTATAACATTTTTAAAATATTTATAAATTAATCATTATAATTTTTTCTTTGCATTTTAAGGAAGTCTATAAATAAATTTAAAAAAAGGATTATTCTTTTTTATGTAAGCGCTTTTGGAAGGATTAAAACTACAACACAAGAATTAGTGATCTGCATTGAGCCTAATTTCCCAAGCCCACCTAGCCTGAAATATTTTAAAAAATTTGTCCGCCCGATCCCAAACGAATTTTTTTATTTGTTCCGAGCCTCCAAAATAAAAATTATTTGACCGCCCGACCCGGCCCGAATATATTTAAATATAAAAAATTTAATTGTTTTTTTTATTGTAAAATAAATATTCTTCAAATATAAAATATTAGCACTTTGTTTCTTGTAAATTTAATCCGGGCCATGCCCGAAATTTTTTATTAGGCCCGTCCCACCCGAACCGAAGTTTTTTTTATAAATAGACCCCGATTCGGAACTCGTTTGGTTACGGGCCGGATCGTGATTTGCAGATCTCTAACAAAAATAACCATATTTTTAAAAATTTATTTGTATTATTGAGACTAGGATTTCGATAAAGGTTGTGCTAGGAGCTATCATTTAAAAAAAATGTATACTAAAATTTCTATCTAGGATATAAAGGTAAATTTACATGATAAAATCTAAACACTCTAAATTTTATGATGGTCATCTAAAAAAAGAACAGTCAATATTATAAACAAAAATTATAATAAGCAGGTCATTTTTAACTGTCGATTGAATGACCCAAAATGCGCCTGTTTTGTTTATTATTTAATGAAAAATAGATTGAACTTTCCTCCAGAAAATATTGTTTTAAGTAAAATAAAACTAATATAGGTAAAAAAATGCTTTTCGAATAGTTAATTTAAAAACGAATATCGATAGATTAATTAAGATTAGCAATCATAATTCATATACTATCTGGCTTTATACAGGATTTTTTTTAATTTATAAAGGAACTTAAAATTGAACGTTTAGAATATTGATACACCAATGAAACATTACTTCTATTTTAATAATAATCCTAAATTTAATTTTTAACACGTGATTAAAATACAGGCTTCACTATTCCCAAACTTAAAAAACACAACAACTAGCTTAGAATATTGATAAGAAAAATTTATTGATTAACCTGCAAATTTGATTTTAAAAATCTAACCTGTTTCTTTACATTTTTTGAAGTTTTATGGTTCAGAAACCCATAACTGACATTTTTCCGGGGGGTTACGCCAATGAATGATATATCAAATGGTGGAGTGACATGAATTCATGCAAATTGTTAATAATCTGTGATCAAATTAAAGGTCTTAATAGTTCAATTATATATCCATGATAGTAGTATTTATTAAAAATATCATGCAATCATAATAATAATGTACCTGACTATCCATTATGTTTTTTCTTATATAAATACATTGAGTATTCTTTAGTTGTTGGTGGTACATCGATATCCCATGTTTTATACAAGTATTCGCGACACTGTCTAACCCCGGCTATTGGCTAAATGTGTTTGATTAACAACTTTATAAAACTTACTTGGTCGATTGCCATCTATAGTCTCCTGCTTTCATTGCTAATAGCAGCCGCTCTTCTACTCACATTTTTTGCAACTCCCTTATCAAGAGAGACTTCCCTTCTTCCGGTGTATCTCGGTCTCTTGAACCATCAGGCTTATTTTAGAGATTGTAGCAGCCCAGATGAGATCAACAAAATTTCATGTAAATAGTATCGGTTCTATAACCCCTTCATTCCTCCAACATCAAACGACATTTAATTGTTAGCTATCAAAGGCCCGAATTATGCACAATATGCCGAGGTGCCATGCCTAGAGGTCTGCAATGGGCGGGATTTCGCCAAAAAGCCTACCCACTCGTTTTGAATTTTTTTAAACCCGCCCACCCACATAATTTTTTTAAAAAAATTTGCCCACCCGCCCATTTATCTATAAATTTTGTTTAACCCACCCTCCGGCTTAATGTTTAAAAATTATTTTTGGCTCTTTATTTATTTTAATATATATTTAATTAAACATATAATATGCAATATTATAAAATTAAACTATTATTTTTAATAAATTAAAGTCTGTTCTGCTCATTTTGCCTAAAGAATTCACCCGCTTAGCACTATAAAAATCTTTTAACCCACCCCTCACCTCAATGTTGAAATAGGAAACCAGACCACTCCCGCCTGAAGTATGGGCAGGCATGTGCATAAAAACCGCCCATTGCAAATAAATACTCATAAAACTTTCCCAAATTACTGAAGAGTGGCCCTTGTTTTTATTAAAGAATTGGACTAACTTCTAGAACAATTTATAAAAAATCTATTGAAACATTAATATAAACTATAGTAAGCTCTTCGTGGCAAAATTATTTGGAATTTATAAAATAAGTATTCCAAACATTATGCAATATATTTCCGGTATAATCAGATATTTAAATTTAAAAAAAACGCGTGCAAAAAATGAAATAATGTTTATTAATTTGAATGAATTAAAGCATTAATAAAAGATCTGAATGATTTTTTTGATATCAAATCTTTTTAACATATATATTTTTCACTATTTTTTAATTTTCAGATATAATGTTAAAATCTCCCGACTTCCTTTTTTTCTATTATTCTCCTGATCACTTTTATTATATAAAATAGAATGTGGCTTTGAATCAAAATGAATATTTTTTTAAAAAATTATTTAGGTTTCCAATTAATAATAAAAAGTTGACCCATGCAATTAAAATAGAATATTTTTAAACAGTATATGATCCCTTAGACATTAATATTGATTAAACTCATAGTTCCTAAGTATAAAAACTTTTTATTCATCATTTTAAGAGAAAAGAAAGCTTAAATTTAAAAATAAATAAATTAATTAAAAATATAATAATTTTAGGCCAATAATTATTTTTTCCATTATATAAAACTTTTATTTTGTAATTTATATCCCCAAAAAAACTTAAATGAATTTTAATTATATCATTTTATAATATAAAATATAATTCATATTCTACAGTGTTAAAGTAGCGAGCTACTTGTAGCGCTATCTTTTTTAGTAGCTATAGCTAATAGCGCGCTACTTTTTTTGTAATTATTTAATTTTTTAGCCCGCTCCTTTTTTGAAAGTAGCTAAGTAGCGCCAATTTGTAATTTATATTTCTAATTTGTATTATAAACCTAAATCACGTGTAAATAATTTAAAATGTCATCGCCTATGGATATCCATATCATTGAAAGTGAGTCAGACGATGATATGAAATAGCAAAATCGGAAAAAAATTTCGTCTGCGAAAACTACAAGATTAATATTTAATCTGATAAGAAACTATTAATGATACACCACGCGAAATTTCACAGAATAACTAATTCCATCAAATACACTTGATTTGTTACAATTATTTAATCACAATGGATTCACATAATCATTTTAAAACCTATAAATAATGATCACCATCAAAAATTCACTAATCTAGTGAAACAAATTCTCTAAAAAGATAACCACACTATTAATTATATATTTTCTTATTTCTCTATTCTTACCAATAATCTATGTAAATTACTGTCAAACAGTGGATGCAAATTCACTGCACTGTAGACGCTTATAGGGCGGTGGAGTGCCCACTTAATTGTGGAATGCCTCTCCAGTGTACGATATGATATTAATGAAATGGAAGATACCAGGGAAGAAAATGTTCTTAACCCCTTCGCGCCCGAAATATTTCCCGTGAACAAAAAATTATTTTTCTAAAACTGATTTAAACAAGATACAAATAACACATTTTCAACGTTTTTTATTTAAATATATATATATAGAATTATGAAATGTTACCAATTGTCTTTGGGATATTCTTATGTATAGAAATATACAATTTATTTTGAATGTAAAAAATAAAAAAATTGCAATTTTTATTTAAACATAAAGATATTTTACATTTTATACATTCAAATCTTAAATAACCATTTTTGCAGTTCTTGAATCTTTGTCTGCTTTCCGTCGATGGCTGTTTTATCTAGTCTAATCTCTGTGATTGGATGAAAACTATTCAATTCCCTTCTTTTTCACCATTTTCCTTTCCAACCATCATCAATCCTTTAGCTATCGGAGCTTTAAATACTAAAAGAGATACATGTTTACTATTTTTCTTTTATGTGGCATCTATAGAGCGACCATGAATTTACTATAACAGGAATCTAATAAATGAAAGAAAACTCGCATATAAAAACGCTTCCATTTTATGTCAGTTCTGCAGAGTTCAATTAACATATCATGGAAATCTACCCCGTCCATACCACTGTTACAGTCTTGAATTAGGGCCGGAATTTTTTCAACATTAAGAAATGACTTATCAGATACCAACCATCTTGTTCTTGATATTGGATTTATTCCCATAAATGATGATATGGTGATAATCGATTATCAAACCATTTGCAAATTATAATATTATTAGAATCTTATAATCAAGGGACCCTCTTCCTTTTTTCTTTAGGATTCCATCATCATACAGGTGGCATCCCGATAATCGATTAGATATAAGGGTCCCCGACACGATAAAGTCATTATCTTTGAGAGCA